TAGCTATCTGACATTCTTCATGGTTTTAACAATATTTCTTTCACCAACAACCAAAAGAGAAGGGGAGTGATTAAGATGGAGAAGAAGGTGACTGCATTGAGATAAGAACAAACTCACAGTAAATTAAAACAGAGAAGAGATCCTTAGAGAGGGAAAGAATGAAACAAAGAGAAACATTGCTGTGGGATTTAGAAAAGGGCAGAAAATCTGTGGTGTGAAAACAGCAGCTCCTCACCTACCCAGCCAAGATTAATTTGATTTTCAAAGGAAAGAAGAGATGCCTACAGTTATTTGTACCACTAGTATTCCTTTGTGTTCAACAGCTCTTCTGCTCTTACTAGAGAATGTAAAACAGTCCTCCTTAAGTCATAGATAATTATTGGGGGAGGGGGACACTATTTTTTTGCCCAGGAAATAGAATAATTTAATAATTCGGCAACATCTTTAGTTTTCAGATTTTGTCCAAATGTTGCATCTGGCATTTATTCACATCTAATATGATATGATGTGATACAATACGATATGATACAATAAAATACAATACAATATAAAATACAATGTGTGTGTGTTTATGTATTTATATTTACAATTAATTTTATCAATACTGTTAGGAATGATGGTCACCTAACAGTTGGGTTGGCAATATATAAACCACGATAGTCATTTAATACTGTTGTATCTTTAAGAGAATGTTGTAATTGTGATTGGCTGAGGTTCCTCCAACAGCCATGAGATGGAGCCAGGAACCTGGTTTGTTCTTTTTTGCTTTCTTTTTGCCTTTTGCCTGATCGTCATTCTGCTTGAATTGCCATGAGTCTTGCAACTATTCGCAAACTCTGTTTACTGGACTTTGTTTATGATACTGGTAAAGAAAAGGATTTCGTTTTTGGATTGCCCCTGGACTGATTATTTTGAATACTAACTGCTTTAACTGCGTATGATTTGGACTGTTTGTTGGACTTTGTTTACTCGTTTACAGGAAGTAAAACTTACATTTTACTATTCAGTGTATCTGTGTGCTGGTTGTGTGTTATTCATCACCACTCTCACTATATTTCCCTGAGTGCACTCATTCTGCTAATGCGGAATACCTCAACAAATACTTCTGTACATTTAAAGAGATGGGCAGCTACAGAAATAAATAAATGCACACACACACACACACACATACTCACTCACTCACTCACTCACTCAGTGCAGGTTATCCAGTTATGTGAATTTGAGGACAGTTCTTAAATAATGGTTTATTTAATGTTGACAAGAATATATTCCCCCTATAAATGTACTACTTAGTGAATGTTGCATATTCGGTGCACATAGGAATTATTCTATAGAAAAAAATACTTCAGGATTTTCACAGTAGAGTCACAGCACCCCTGTGTGAAACACTCTTTGTCTTATTTGAATAATACTCTGACATTTTTATGGCTAAAATGTGCTTTATTGTTTAGTTGTTTGTATCTTATATGTAACAAGACTTTTGACTAAATAATGACAAAAATAATAAGTTCTCAATAACACTAGAGAGTCAAAGAAGTTGAATGAAAAAGCTATTAACCAATAAAAAGAGACAGTAAATGAAATCTTAGCTTTGAAAAAGAAATAAGCATAAGAATGTGATTCAGAATAACCCTACTTGGATTCTGTGTAATATAAGGGAGAACAAACTGAAATTCTGGTAGACTTTCAAGATTCTGTTAATATGCCCTACAACAATAAAATAGAATGCCAAATGCATGTATTGTGTTTGATTCCTGATCTGACCTACCTTGAAGCTTTGAATCACTGGAAGCTTTCAAGAAGAGACTGGGCTGCCATCTGTAAAAAATGGTGTAGGTTCTGCTTGGGCGGGGTGGGGGTGGGGGGTTGGACTAGATGACCTACAAGGTCCCTTCCAACTCTGTTAACTCTGAAAATGACTAATAAGGGACTATTTTGATTAAACATTTACAGGTTTCACTGCAATTGGTAATATGTTAACACGAATTTGCTGAACAAGTTAACAAAATATTTCCACCAGTTTGCTTGTTAAATAAATGAAGTCAAGAGTAAAGTTATAATGAACCTGAACATTCCATTTTTGTAATTAGAAGAGAGTACATTAACTCTATATTTCCTGGTGATTCAATAGGGATGGGAAAAAAATAGGACTGACTGTTAAATAACAATCTCAGGTTATGGTACAATTTCTTACAGACTCTTGCTGAATTAGGACCGATTCAATACCATGTCTATCCTGTATTACTTTAACTACAGAAGGAATGCACACTGATTATTGCAATGATATCATATATATTATGATATCCACATACGTTAAACAATTCAGTACAACATAAATAAGGTTTTTGTCCTAGGCCAACATAAGGTTATCTTAAACATTTTTAAAAAAAGAATAAGAACAGAAAGCAGTTTCTTAAACTTGTTTTTAAAAAGCAGGATTTATCATGCTTAGATTTTGGATCCCAAATATCCAGAAACCTATCAGGCTGAACCCAAGGGCAGGATCAAACGCATCATCAGTTTGGAGCCACTATGCTCCCACAAGAGATCTAAGTCCAATTCCTCATGAATGACAACTGATGAAATTCACTGACTGTGATCTAGCACCAATCTGCCTTGGCCATCAGTAGATCAGATTCTTGTTTATAGGTAGCATGGAATAAACTTGCAGTACTTTTAAACTCTATTTCAACTCTTGGTTTCTTATGTCTGACAATATCTTCCCCATTAATTTCAATAACTTTTCCCACAATGGATGCTAGGGAGAAAACAAGATATTGTACAAGTTTAAGATCCTCTCCTGATCTCTTGCTAAGCTGCTTCATATATGATGCAGCAACTATAAAAGCTTCTACCAGTATTAGCTACAAATGTGTCCTTTTTATTCTCTATTTTTTATAATATATAGATGTGGGGCATTTTTCCTATTTCAGAAAGGGAACCCTTTGCAGTAAATTTGGCTTAATGACTTTTGAGTATTATGATTAATAGGAGAAATTTTTTAAAAGCAAGCATAAGGCGGCTGTTACAAAACAGGGATATCAAATTAAACCAAAACATACTAATGTAGTATAAAATTCTACTGAAAAGGGATACATTTGGAGTTCTAGGGAAAAGAAGTGGAGAAAGTTCCATAGACTTTAAAAAAAAAACTCTTCAGTTTTTGTGTTTTTTTAACACATCTGGAAAAAAACAACTGAGATTCCAGCTGAAACTCTCAGAGCAGACTTTTTGAGATTACTCATTGGCAAAATACATATTTTTACCTTCCAGAAAGAACATACTATTTCTCACTGTAAATCAAATCATAAAAGAACATAATTTCTCGCAATGGCCTTGATCACTCAGGATGAATTACGCATGTATTTTTATAACACTTTTCAATAGAAGCTTTTCACACATTTAGAAAAGTAAAGAAACAGTAATGATGAGGAATCACAGAAAACTCTCTTCCTACTATATTAGCAAGTTCCCCACCAGGGAATTCCATAAATCTAAGGCCTACAGCTTTGAAAGTTATAGAGGAAAATATATTTCCTCTCATACTTTCTACACTATGAAAGGAAAAATAGAGAATAAAGCAAATGATCATGAGAGATGTTGCATTCATTCTCCTAATAAAATAGCATGCTTTAGAGAATAATTGATCATTCTCATCTAACAATCAGAGCATATACTTTAGTTGTACTGTTAATTATACTCAACTGTGCTCAATATGTGTAGATTAATAATAACGCTACAAAGTGTTTGTATAATTTTTGTATCAGTTCTTGATATCAACATAACTGGATATATTATGCCTGAATGACTTACTCAGTTGTAAGAGTCAGTGTGTTTTGGATCTTTTTTTTTTTTTTTAGGGGGCGTGCATAAGCGCACCAACATGCCTACCGTCCCTTTCCTATTGTTTCTTTTATATATATATATATATATATATATATATATATCCACGTATTCATAACTATGTTTTTACTTATATCTATTATCTTGTAAGCAATTGACAAATAAAATAAATAAAATAAAATAAAAATAAAATCTTTTCTTAAAGTGACTTTTTCTCACCATCTCACTCTCTACTCCTCCACTTAAGCATAGAGCTTTCCAAATTTCCTCCCAACTCTAAAGCACTTCATCCATGTGTTTTCCAACAACCCATTATTCTAGTTTTATGTACATTAATTCACTTGGCATACACTTCTAAGAAGCAAGAAAATGTTATCTATAGATCAACTTCCAGAATAATGCCATTTCTATCCAAAGAAATGTAGCTAGCTAGGTGCCACTGAGTCTGGGTGAATCCTCACTATTTTATCTTTTTTTCTAGCAATAAATGGCAGCTCTTCCAAATGCAATCCTGAAAGAATCTTTTTTTGTTTAAATTATACATAATATGTAGCAAGAAAACTGAACCACACTAATACAGAATTAAAGGGAGTTTTTGGGCTTCAGACACTTGGTTAGCAACCGCTCTAATTTGCTGCAGTGCTGAACAAGGGGTACTTACGGCTGGTCCTCAGAGTTCTAGGTGTAACACTATCAGTGCTCACCTGATCACTGTTTCTGACATTTCCTGCTGGCTTTCCACAAGGAAAGTCAATGGACAAGCCAGGAAGAAGTCGAAGTCACATGAGGGCCTTGCTTAGTGAACTGAACAATCCTAGCTTAACAACAGCAACTGGAACCACCATCACTAAGCAATGCAGTCACATAACATTGAACTTTACAATTGTCACTTACTGACAGCATTTCTGGCTCCAATTGCTGTTGCAACCTGAGGACTACCTATATTTGGAAAGTATTCCTTCAATGCCCCTATTGGAGGAGTATAACATATTAAAATATAACTTATGACAAACTAAACTTGGGAGAAGGCATGATGTTGCTTTTGGGCTCTTGCCTGATTTTGCCAGAGACAGGGATTTCTAAGGATCAATGGAGAACTGTTAGTGGTTCTAAAAGTGTCCCAGGACCAAACAGAAAAAGGACACTCATTTGCATACCTTCACTAGTGGCGGCATTCTTTTGAGTCTTGGTTGGAGTGTGATCTGTACTTGAACTCACGTCGGATGAGATGCTTGAGCTGCCTTTACCTGCAAAGAAAGATTGGAACTTTAAAAAAAACCTTTATGATACTTTAGGTAACAAGGCTTTAATTATCACCAAATATCTGGTTTCCAAAATTAGATCATAAGGCACATTCTGGAAATCTAAAATAGAGAAGGAAAAGGCTCTTAAGAGCCATAGCACAGAACTGTAAATGTTTTTATAAACATTATTAAAATTCTATGCATAAAATAAACATTAAAAAAACACAACAGGAAAAACATATAAGCATATACAAATATAAAAATCAAATACAAAAATCAAATAAAAATATGGTCCACTTCTGCACTTCATTTTCCTCATAGATCCATTAACCATTTCTTATTCTTCTGGATTGTTGTAATCACTACATTTTCCACAACCTCAGCCACCTCTGAGACAAACTGATTTGCTGTGGAATTTCAAACCCAGTTTATGGTACAATACAACATTTCAACATATGAAATTCAAGATTTTAAAAGAATGAGATCACAAGCATTCAGATGAAAATAATTCATTTATTAGTTCTAAAACATCATAGTGAGTTAAAGTTTTCATTGTCTTTTCTTATTTTAAGCTGAAGGAAGCTAACTTGATGGGAAAGGAAGTTCACAGAATGGGTGTTATAATAAAATCCTCTGTTTTAAAAAAAGCAGAACATAAAAATGTCTGCCAAAAAATAGAGTTTTGCTCTCCCTCCAAAAAAAGTTGCCACCCTAAACAGCACTGTGCAATATGGACAAGAAGGGTAGGGGGAAAATTAAGAACTATGTTTTTTTTAAATCTTATTTCAAATTTGAAAAAAAATTGGTTTTATGTAGGATAGGTGCTTTAAAACCATACATTTCAGTAACATCTGATACAGATTCCAGAAGAAGAGATTGCAAGTCTTTTATCTAAGTCGTATATACAACATTTGTCTTTTTTTATAAAAAAAATAAATCTGCATTTTTTATGACAATATGTTGAAGGGTTTTTGCAAACCAGACAAGAATTTCATACAGAGAGAACAGACCACTTGCAGCATCAGGATGTCAGAACAAATCATTGTAAAAGACCGATTCTTCAGGGAAGCTGGAGACGTAAGGCCTATCTCACAGCTGTCTGATGAGGTTCACTTCCTCCCTTCAGCCAGCTAGGTAATCAATGGGGCCTCATGAAAATCCCAACAATGACTTCATAGTGAAGTTTATCATTTATGAATTTGATTTATTTCAAACATTTCTGTACCACCCAATCCCAAGACCTTGGGTGGGGTACAACAATAGAAACAATAGAAAATGACCTGAAAGTGGCATTCTGACTGTGTCAATTACCACTTGAAAGAACACAATAGACAACAACACAATATATAATGCTCTCTTCCAAATAACCTAGGCACCAAAAGCCTTCTAAAAAGACAAAAAGCACAGCATCTTTTTAAATACTAGAAGAGAGGAAGATAATGTATTTCTGCATTCACAGCTTACTTTAGAAACAAAAAAAAGTATTTTCATTATCCAAGTCAGAAGGCTGTATTTGGGGGGAGAGGTAAAGAGAGAGAGAGATTGGTTCCTATTGGGAGAACTGACTGCTCAACCCCCACCTTGCATTTATTGAAGCAATTTACATAGCCATTCATCTCCCCAATAACATAGCTGGAAGGGACCTTGGAGGGAGGGAGGGAGGGAGGGAGGGAGAGAGAGAGAGAGAGAGAAAGAGAGAGAGAGAGAGAGAGAGAGAGAGAGTACATGCCTAGAGTTCCACTTCAAATGGTTGAGATTGTAACCAGGCAACGGGGCTTGCTTAACCTCCTGGCCCTATGCCTGTGGGAATATCCAAGTCTTGATCACCTTACAAAAGGCCAACAAGGTTAAGGCCATTTAGATCTTGGGAGATGGTGGGTGGGAGGATAATTTTCCACAGGAGAGGACAGTGCATTGATAAGTGTAAGAAATTCTGTGGGCCAATACATTTTGTAAGAAATTCAGAAAGCAGATTAATGCTATTCACCAATGTCTGTTACAAGCCGTGGCAATGTCTTTACAATGATGTCATTGCACAAATGATATGTATATGTAATGATACAATGTCTGATGCAAACACACAAATCATATCATTTGCATGATGGTGTTATTACACATCATAATTTGTTTCCCTTGAAGTTGCTTCTGACGCCAGCTACTGTATATTCCAGATCCCTTGGGAACATGTCATCCTATTTCCTCTTGTTCCTAATCCAAATCAAAGTGACATAAGTAGCATAAAACTAAGATGTAAGGTAACATAATAAGATCAGTCTTTATATCAGGCCTAGTTGTAAATCTTGACTCTCCAGACACCTAACCTCTCTGTCACGACCACGCAACACAAAAGTCCAACGGAATTCCAGTGATGGCTTGATCGAGAAGGAGGGTGATTCAAATTCACCAGCAATGATGCTGAACAATAAATACGCAGGGTGTATTGACAGAGCCTTTTTATTACGGCAATGTTAATGTGGCTAATGGTGGAGTAATTAGGCTACAGGAATTAACCATGAATGTGATTAGGTAATAAGGGGTAATAATGGATAATGGTGGGTAATAAGGGGGAAATTACCATAAATACAGGGTTCCATTGAACTCAGTTTAGAGCTGACTTTAATTTTATTTGCTTGACTGTTTTCGTGGTGTCCTTGCAGATGAAGGAATTAAAACTTTTTGTTTATCAAAACAACGAGGATTTCCTATTTCCTTTGATCCAAGCATTTGACCTACAGAGCAGTTGAGACTCATTCAGGAGACTGTTTATTTATCAGAAATTTCTCATTTATTTATTTATTTATATTATAGACAAGAATTAAGCAGACTTCAGTGTACAGAAAAGTTTTTTTTTTTTAGTCTACTATGTGTTGCAGGTTTTGAATTTCATTTTTATCTTCCTGCTTTCTGAACATCTAAGATGCTTAGCTCTTCTCTTCATGCAAAGACATGAAGACATCTGCTCTTTATTAATATAATTTGGTTTTTTGTTTTCTGAGACTGCTGGTTCCTGCCCTGCCAGCTTCATTCCTTACATTTAGTATACAGTTTTAGACATCATCATCACCAGCAGAAGTACCATTATGCACAAGGGAAAATGTACATAACCTTTACTGTATAACATAATGCTAGGATACCATTTTATATGCTGCCCAGCATATGGTTCTCATGAAACCCTCTGCTGAAAAAATACTGTAAACTATACTAAGCAAAAACATCCCACCCTTACTCTATGAGAACACCTGAAAACAGATGGAAATATTCTCTGAAGTCAAGACAAGGAAGAACTGTCTGGTGCCAGTCTCAGATAGATCCCTGATGCCTAATTTACACCTACTTAGAAGAAACTAAAAAAAAAAGAGTGAGAAAGGAAGATGATTTTCCTTCTGCACTGCGGACCAAGATTTATTCTGCACAAGACTTAGAAATATATGCTCTGAAGGGTTCTCTGTAAAGGAAAATATAGCATTTTGGCAGATGTTAGGTTTCTTTACAATGACATTTTTTATGTTGGAAGCTCACATATTCCTATATGTTAAGCACCATCACTAAACACAATCACAGTAGTGCAGCTTGTAAGCCTGCTGGAATAGTTAAGCAATTTTAGATTTTGGCTTTATTTGTAAAAAAAAAAAAGAAGAAGAAGAAGACTCTTTTAATTAGTGTGCAGAACTAAATCTCAATATTTTTAAAACAGGAAGAATGTTTGCTTTTCAATTACTTAACTGTAGATGCAACAATTACCTTTCTGCTTGCCCTAAGCTCTTCTGTTGAGTTGGATGAAGGTAAGAATAAACAGAAGTTGACTTTTGAATGAAGGAAATAATTCAGTCTGGGTCTTGTCTGGTTCTCATGATGAACTGGTCTTGTTTTTTCAGGTTTATTCTATTTCAGTGTTAATTCAATGTAATTCAGTTGTTTGCATCAAGCTTAAACTAATGGATCTTTGGCTGGTGGTAAAAGAAAACATGGATCACACAACTCTCACCTCAACTTATGATAGATGAGCTGCCACCCGGGATACATTTCTGCTTTAGATGATAGCATATATTATTTCACCTACTTTAAGCAGTGGCAAACCAAGCTTGCTTTGATGTCTTGATAATGAGCAATGAGATGAATAGAAAAAAAATATATTGCAGACTGACACAAAAGTCAAAGCAGCAAACATTTTTAAAGAGTAATTAGAATGTAATTAAGCAACTAACAGGCAACCAGGAGATCATTGACAATCTATGGTAAGACATCAAGAATTAACACTTGGAGCTGAGCAGCTAGCAGGTCCATATATTTCATAAACACCACTGGGAATGTGGATCAACTAAAAGGCAGTATGGAAACTGAAAAGGATAGCAATACATATATGCAATAGAGGATGGATATGTAAATGTATACATCATTCAAAGCACTGCTTTGGAATAAAGATAAGATGCTTCCTAGATCTATCAGATAGAACTTTGTAATATGGATCAGCATTTCAGTCCTAAAGTTCTAAAACAAACCTTCTTCATATTCTTTGGAATTGAACCATCAACTGGCATATATAAGAAGAAGGGCTCTCTTTAAAGTTAGACACTGGCCTTCTTTTCTAATGCAAAGGATTTGATAAGTCTTGTAGTCCTGTTTCCAAAAAAAAAAGGGAGCATTCAAATATGAGCTTAAATATGATTTGTGGTATTATTCCCAATTTTGTGTGAAACAAAATATTCTATTGGTTCTCTAATTTTCCTAAACATAGAAGGTGGTATAAGTAGAGTAAACAGAAACAGCATTTTAGTTGAATAGAGGTAGATGCAACAGTACTTGTCAATTGCAGCTATAAATAGGAAACTACTGTAGATCAGGTATCCCACATTTTTTTTTGATTGCAAATCATGAAATTAATTAATTCTAGATGATCACATATGGAAGCTCCTGTACACTGGAAGAAAACTAATTACTTATTTTTTCAAGCCATGAATCTTATCTAATTAATATACTTGAGGTACAGTATATGTTGGTACAGC